CTTATATATAAATGCGTATAACAAGATAACCATATATGGTCACTAACTAAAATAATTACCATATATGGTCACTAACATAATAACCATATATGGTAACTAACATAATTACCATATATGGTCACTAACATAATTACCATATATGGTCACTAACTAACATAATAACCATATATGGCCATTAACATAATAACCATATATGGTAACTAACATAATTACCATATATGGTAACTAACATAATAACCATATATGGTCTCTAATATAATAACTATATATGGTCTCTAACATAATAACCATATATGGTCACTAACATAATTACCATATATGGTCACTAACTAACATAATAACCATATATGGCCATTAACATAATAACCATATATGGTCACTAACATAATTACCATACATGGTAACTAACATAATAACCATCTATGGTCACTAACATAATAACCATATATGGTCACTAACTAACATAATTACAGCCTTCATCTCTTTGCTTACCGTTCCGCTCATCACTCAGATAAATGGGTCATAAATTGTCCAAAAAGTGATGCACTTTTTTTGTGGGTCAATCTGACCCAGTTTGGCCCGGCAAAAGGTCGTATCAGTGCTACGTCCGCTTTCTGCCCGTGATAGGTAGGGAAGTGTATCACAATTTGGACAATACGACCCCGTCATTTTTCTCAATATAATAAATAATAAAATTTCTCGTATGGAAGTGTGTCACTATTATTTGGACAACATGCCCCAGTCTTTTTTCTCATTGTAATAATAAAATTTTGCGTATGGAAGTGTGTCACTAGTATTTGGACAATATGCCCAATATTTTTCTCATTGTAATAATAAAGTTTCGCGTATATCGTCTATAGAATAACAAGATAAGTAGTCTCAGCTGCACATTGATGGACGATGTGGGTAACATCTGTTGACATCAATTAAATCAAATAAATGAGTGGGACTATGCACTGTTAGAAAAAACGGTCCCACTGGCGTTCTACACTGTTAGAAAAAACGGTGAAAAAACGGTCCCACTGGCGTTCTACACTGTTAGAAAAAACGGTGAAAAAACGGTCCCACTGGCGTGGCGTTCTACACTGTTAGAAAAAACGGTGAAAAAACGGTCCCACTGGCGTTCTACACTGTTAGAAAAAACGGTGAAAAAACGGTCCCACTGGCGTCCTAGTGGCCGGTCGCCCCGGGAAAATAAACTGTTTCGCCGTTTTTATCAGATGTTTTACGGATTTCTAGTGTTAAATTAGAATAAAAATGGCGACACGGTGTTACTTTTCACGTGCCGACCGGCCACTGGAACGCCGGTAATACCGTTAACGGTAATTTTTCTAACAGTGTGTCTAAAAGCAATGAACTTTTTTCTCTTTGCGAGGGTTTTTCTGATCTATTTTAGCCGGTAAAATGCCGTATCAGTGATATGTTCAAGATAAGTGATAGGTACTATTCAGACAGTTGACCCACTCCCTTTTCTGAGTGCAATGCATAAATAACTAAATTTTATGAAACTTTTTGGTGGGAAAAATGGCCGTCTTTTGGTAGTATTGCCTGATTAGTTAAAATGTTGAATAAACAATAAATGAAGTAAACACACTAGAATGATTCATCATGAATAATCATGATCATGATCACAAATAAACGAGTATTTTTAACTCAAATTAAGTATCTAAATCAACTCTATAACCTCACGTACTTCAAAAGGATCAACGTTTGAGAAACATTGAAAAACGTAACGATCGCGAAAAACAAAAAGCAACTAGAACATTTAAACGTTCATTATGCAGCGATTCATCGATTGGTAGCGCCGGTAAACGTTTTAATGTAAACAATATCTAATGTTCACGACATGTCTATAGTGGAACGTTTTAAAAAATGAAACGCAGAACGTAAACGTTTACACAAAAGAACCGCGTAAACGTTTGCACAAACGCACCACATAAACGTTTACAAAAACGCATCGCGAAAACGTTGCTACAAACGCACCACGAAAACGTTTGTACAAACACACCGCGAAAACCATTGCACAAACGTACCACGAAAACGTTGCTACAAACGTACCACGAAAACGTTCGCAAAAACGTACCACGAAAACCATGGCACAAACGTACCACGAAAACGTTTGCACAAACGTACCACGAAAACGTTTGCACAAACATACCACGAAAACCATTGCACAAACGTACAACGAACACGTTTGCACAAACGCACAACGAAAACGTTTGCACAAACGCACAACGAAAACGTTTGCACAAACGCACAACGAAAACGTTTGCACAAACGCACAACGAAAACGTTGCTACAAACGCACAACGAAAACGTTTGCACAAACGTACCGCGAAAACCATTGCACAAACGCACAACGAAAACGTTTGCACAAACGTACCACGAAAACGTTTGCACAAACGTACCACGAAAACGTTTGCACAAACGTACCACGAAAACGTTTGCACAAACGCACCTTAAAAACCAAAAGTGGTAAATATTCAACAAAAAAAATGTCAACAGGAAAAGTTAGGTATCAACCACTAACCTTAAAACATGCACAATTATAATTTGAATAAATAAAGATAAAATATCTTTATTTATAGATAAAATATCTTTAAATATCTTTAAAGAAAAAGATAAAATATCTTTATTTATGATCATCGTTTGAAATTTTGTGACATTTGTTGGATTTTTTAAATTAAATTTCACTTATTTCAAAGCAAATAAAGAAGGCAAGCAAAATTTAACAAGCGCGATTAAATGCAAGTAAACATGAGTTAATTAAAATGGTGAACTTAGCTAAAACTTATCAACTAGAAACTTAACGATAAATTAGTGAATAAAAGATCACCTTAAGTTGTTAGTAACATGAGTTAATTGGAATCAAACTTGACAAGAAGCTAGAAACGAAATTGAAGCAGGAACAACTTTGAAAAAATTAATTAATTATTAATTAATTTGCAATTAATTATTTATTAATTAATTAACAAATAATTAGTTAATAATTAATTAAGAAATAATTAAGTATTTAAGCTCTGTAATTAATTAATAAGCTTGTGAGATTAAGTTGGGTTAAACAGGATTAGGTACGAAAATATTTTAAGGTAAACAAATCATGAAAAAAATGGATTTAAGCCATTGAAACTTAAGTAGATTTTTTAAGCACTTCAAAGAAAAATTCAGTAATAGAACATTCTTTAGTAATTACGACGAAATACTGTTTTATATATTTCAATATGAAGGAAAATCAATATATTTTTGGAATGGGGTTACAGGTCACGGAAAATTTGAAATAGAAATATGCCAAAAATAGGAAAAAATCTATATATCTCGGAATGTTTTCCAAATTAAAAAATTGCAAAATTAACCACCAGAAAATTTAACAAAGTTTTTTTAATGAATCTGAACACAGGCGCACAATTCATCATTTATCGGTGTTCATTATAAATGATAACAGCAGAGTTGTTCATCCCTCAGCACAGATGCTTGTCCCTCAGCATCCCTCAGCAGAGATGCTTGTCCCTCAGCACGGATGCTTGTCCCTCAGCACGGATGCTTGTCCCTCAGCAGAGATGCTTGTCCCTCAGCAGAGATGCTTGTCCCTCAGCAGAGATGCTTGTCCCTCAGCAGAGATGCTTGTCCCTCAGCACAGCTGCTCATCCCTCAGCACGGATCAGTGGTGCTGTGTTCTCTGGCACAGTGCTGTGGCAGCCATGCTGACATGAGGGTGCTGACTGCTGCGCAGTGCTGAGAAATGCTGCGCCACAGCAGCCTCCTGCAGCACAGCAACACCGCCCCCTGCACACAGCAGCTCATTAATGCTAGTCATATTCATCATATTTACAGCATTCATCATATTCATCATATTTACAGCATTCATCATATTCATCATATTTACAGCATTCATCATATTCATCATATTTACAGCATTCATCATATTCATGATATTTACAGCATTCATCATATTCATGATATTTACAGCATTCATCATATTCATGATATTTACAGCATTCATCATATTCATGATATTTACAGCATTCATCATATTCATGATATTTACAGCATTCATCATATTCATGATATTTACAGCATTCATCATATTCATGATATTTACAGCATTCATCATATTCATGATATTTACAGCATTCATCATATTCATGATATTTACAGCATTCATCATATTCATGATATTTACAGCATTCATCATATTCATGATATTTACAGCATTCATCATATTCATGATATTTACAGCATTCATCATATTCATGATATTTACAGCATTCATCATATTCATGATATTTACAGCATTCATCATATTCATGATATTTACAGCATTCATCATATTCATGATATTTACAGCATTCATCATATTCATGATATTTACAGCATTCATCATATTCATGATATTTACAGCATTCATCATATTCATGATATTTACAGCATTCATCATATTCATGATATTTACAGCATTCATCATATTCATGATATTTACAGCATTCATCATATTCATGATATTTACAGCATTCATCATATTCATGATATTTACAGCATTCATCATATTCATGATATTTACAGCATTCNAGATGTGTATAAGAGACAGCCTTTAAAGAGCAGTCATGTACGTATAAATTCACGTACAGGGATCGCAGTGGTATCGTTGGATAGGGCAGAATGTCAGCTTTAAGATGATACTAAATGCCAGAAAAGCCAAAATCCGAAAATTTTAGGGATACCTCCCCCTTAATTACCTTAATTAAATAATTACCTCTCACAGAGAGTTGGCTAATTACCTTTCTGAAGGACTTGATTAATTACCTTAATTAAACAATTACCATACCTCTGGTAGGTAATGACTCACCAATCTCAGTGACAGCCACGCAGGCAACCAGCAGGTTATACATGGCGTGTGACAGCAGACCAGCTGAGTCAGCTGCTACTGCTGGGTCAGTGGCAGCAGAAGCAGCAGCAGGCAACTCAGTGGCAGCAGCAGGCAACTCTGTGGCAGCAGCTGGCAACTCAGTGGCAGCAGCAGGCAACTCAGTGGCAGCAGCTGGCAACTCAGTGGCAGCAGCAGGCAACTCAGTGGCAGCAGCTGGCAACTCAGTGGCAGCAGCTGGCAACTCAGTGGCAACGGCAGCTTCCTTCAAAGTGTTGACAGAATTCTCGAGCAGCTCTGCGGCAGAGGGCGGACACACGCCTGTCCCGTGGTCACGGTTATTGTAACACAATAATATTAAGGATCTTAAAATATAATGAATTAATAAATAATTTAATTAAAATTACAAAATTAGTTAAATTAATTAAATTAAATTATAAATACGGTTATTATAACACAATAAGTTATGCAGTTATTATAACACAATAACAGTGCTATGCACAGTTACAATAACATAATATTATTGACGGTCATTATAACAAGGTAGCGTAGGTAACTATAAGTACAGTTATCATAACACAATAATAAAACTTATTATAAGACAATAACATTAACAGTTTTAAAAAATTATTTGAATTAATTAATAATTTAGGTGAAATTACAAAATTAATTAAATTTAAAAAAATGGAATTAATTTAATTAAATTATAAGTACAGTTATTATAACACAATAACATTGATGATCATTATAACAATGTAGTGTAATTATAATTAAAGTTATTATAACAACAAGAGACGTTCAATATTGCAGCTGTTAAATTAGCAATACTCGATAGTAATTACAGTTATTATAACAATTATCACCACTAAGAGCAGCACGAGTGGCCACATTAGCCACTCCCCCCCTCCCCTCACCACTAAGAGCGGCACGAGTGGCCACATTAGCCACTCCCTCCCTCCCCTCACCACTAAGACCAGCACGAGTGGCCACATTAGCCACTCCCTCCCTCCCCTCACCACTACACTAAGAGCAGCACGAGTGGCCACATTAGCCACTCCCTCCCTCCCCTCACCACTAAGAGCAGCACGAGTGGCCACATTAGCCACTCCCTCCCTCAGGAGGGGAGGGTCCAGGTGGTCCAGCACTCCAGGCAGGTCCTTGCACAGGCCCAGGCACAGCGACAGCGCCAGACACGCCTCCTGGATCTGGAGGTACACAAATATATACTAATTATCAATTATTTATCAAATATATGTGATATATATATTAATTATCTCTTTACAATATAATTTTAATATAATAATTGAAGTATATTTTAATTATCACTTATAAGAGCAGTTATTTTATCAGTTATTATATCACTTTTCATTTGTTTATCGAAATTATACTCATTATTTATATATATTTAAATATATTCTAAGTATAAGTTGTTATATCAGTTTTCAGTTATTATAGCATTTATCAGTTATTATAGCAGTTAGCAGTTATTATATCAGCTATCAGTTATACCAGTTATTGTATCAGTTATCATTTATTCATCAAAATTATAATAAATTATTCAAGTATATATTTCAATATATGTTAATTATCACTTTCAAATATCATTTTAAATCGTTCGGGATAGTGAGTAATGAAATAGAATAAACTTAACAAATATTATCAAATTTATACCTTTTGAAATTACGATATTTAATGAAAAGGTACCTTTTAATAAAATATCATAATTAGTTAATAAGAGTAAAATAAGTTAATCTAACCATGATAGGGTAACATGAACGCAATTTTAATTAAATATCGTAATTAATTAATAATAATAAGAGTAAAATAAGTAAGTCTAACCCTGATGGGGTAACATACCTCTTAATTAAATACCTATAATAATTAATTAATAAGAGTAAAATAAGTTAGGTTAACCATGATAGGGTAACATACCTCTTAATTAAATATCGTAATTAATTAATAATAAAAATAAAATAAGTTAGTCTAACCATGATGGGGTAACATGAACGCAACATGTTGAGCAGGGGTGTCAAGCAACCCCGCTCCACGAGGCTGTGCAACACCGCAACCCCAACAGGGACGTCTACAATTGCAACCCCTTCACTAGGGTTGCTTTTCACTCCTGTAGGGTTGTTTTCACATTTTTCTTCATCATTGTTTTCATTTTCAGCAATTTTGCTTTTTTCGGCTTCTTCAACATTGTTGGGTTGATTTGTCAAGTTGACGGTTGAACTTTCGGGTTGATTTGTAGGGTTGACAGTTGAACTGTTGGGTTGATTTGTCAAGTTGACGGTTGAACTGTTCGGTTGAGTTCTTGGGTTGACGGTTGAACTGTTCGGTTGAGTTCTTGGGTTGACAGTTGATTTTTCGGGTTGAGTTCCCAAGTTGACGGTTGAACTGTCGGGTTGAGTCGTCAAGTTGACGGTTGAACTGTCGGGTTGATTGATTGGGTTGAAGTTATCAGCACTGAGATAACCACTAGAGTTAGTGTTGTTGGTGCCATCATTAGATGATGATGATGAATCATTGCCACTGTCACTGCCACTTGCAGCCATGGCAGGTGGCACGAGAGAATGTGGTGGACCTGCAAGTGCAATAAATTGGTTAATTAACTAATTAATTGATTAATTAATTAGTTGATAAGCACACAAAAAATTAGGAAGTAAATTTACAATTATTTTCAATTAAATACCGTAATCTGTAACATTTAAACAACTTAACATCATACATTAATAAATATACAAGTTTGTCAATATTCTTTGAATATTATCCATTTATATTAGGTTATAATCAACAATGCAAATTTGTTAATAATATTTATACCGTATATACTTAATCCTGAATGTATTTCAAGCATAAGTTATATTAATATATAATAAAAATATATAATACATATAATATATATATATAATACCGTAGATAATAAAAAAATCTTCATCAAACTACTTCACTTTCATCCTAGTTGTTCATGTTCAAAATAATTCAACTGTAATCAAAGGTTGTTGATAAATCAATGATGTTAGGAGATAGAACAGTATATTATAGGAACAGTTCATCCCTGCTGAACAGTTCAACAGTCACCCCTCACCCCATGTCACCCCTCACTCCATGTCACCCCTCACCCCATGTCACCCCTCACCCCATGTCACCCCTCACCCCATGTCACCCCTCACCCCATGTCACCCCTCACCCACGTCACCCCACTCACCCGCCAGGACGTTCTTCACAAGGGCGGCCAGGAGGCGGGATGCCTCCCCCTGCACCCCGGGATGCTCCTGCACCCCGCACCACCACACCAGCTTCTGCACCGCCGGCACACACATCCCGATCTGGGGCAAATATATATCTATATATATAATATTATATTGAACAATATTATATATATATATAAATTATACTGAGCAATAAGGAATATTTATAGATTATTAATAATATTACTTTAAAGTCCATAAATGTATATGTTGGTCTGATATAATATATGAAATAATAACTCCAATCATAATATTATGTGTAGTTGTATTTTAACTCTATTCATAATTTTACATAAGAAACATCGTTTATATTTTCCTATCGTTAGGATAGTTATTATCTTATCTTAACAAGAAATTTGTTAGTGACATCTAATAAACATTCTTATAAAATCTCGTTATACCACTAAAATACGAAATATTTTAATATATTACATAATATGAAATAAACTAATACCACTGTAATATGTAATGTATTTGCTGGCTTAAACAACTATATTCTTATCATATATATTCATACCACTAATATACTGTATATTTTAATATATTTAATAATACATAATATATGCAACTTAATTTATTATATATTATAATATATTATATTATATGGCAACTGACAGCAATGGCAGCATCTGCGTTGCCGTCGACGATCATCCTGAGCGTTGCCAGGAGTTTGAAGACGACAGGAAAACTGTCAACTGTTGCCATCAGCGGCACCAGCACGTGCAGCGCGCCCTGTCAACAGGTCAACTGTTACTCTGTTGACACTAGAATGATGTCAACAGGAGAACTGTTACTCTGTTGACACTAGAATGATGTCAACAGGTGATCTGTTACTCTGTTGACACTAGAATGATGTCAACAGGTGATCTGTTACTCTGTTGACACTAGAATGATGTCAACAGGTGAACTGTTACTCTGTTGACACTAGAATGATGTCAACAGGTGAGCTGTTACTCTGTTGACACTAGAATGTCAACAGGTGATCTGTTACTCAGTTGACACTAGAATGAATAAATATCAATGAAAATGCTAATGAATGAAAATGCTATAGGGTAATTAAAATGCAAAAAGGTAATTAAAATGCAATAAGGTAATGAAAATACTATAAGGTAATTAAAATGCAATAAGGTAATGAAAATACTATAAGGCAATGAAAATGCAATAAGGTAATGAAAATGCAATAAGGTAATGAAAATGCAATAAGGTAATGAAAATGCAATAAGGTAATGAAAATGCTATAAGGTAATGAAAGTGCAAAAAGGTAATGAAAATGCAATAAGGTAATGAAAATGCTACAAGGTAATCAAAATGCAGAAAGGTAATGAAAATGCAATAAGGTACCGTCAACTGGGGTGACTTCGGCCAAATTACACTAGTTTCTGCCGATCAAATTCCTACAAAATAGGAATGAGGCGTTGCTGGTGATTGTAAATTTGTAAATATATTACTGAAAGGTTCTTCTTCAAATATATCATGTCTAAATTATGTCACTCTTATCGAAAAATAATTTTTTTTTTTAATTAGCTGGTTGGCCGATGTCACCCCGCGATGGGGTGACTTCGGCCACATGTGTTAAAACACAGTAAAAACATAGTAAAATGATTTCATGGCCGAATTCAACCACTAGCGGGGTGACACCCATGTAGGGTGTAGGGTGTTTTAAAATGGGGAGTAACATGTAGGGTGTTTTAAAACAAAAACAAAACACCCATGTAGGGTGTTTTAAAAAATGATAATCAATGCCACTGTGTATTATAACTATTGTAACTCAAAGATAAAACTCACATTTGCGAATCATATGCTTATTAAAGCTGCTTTCTGTCAATTTCAATGGCAGCTGGATGTGAAAGTTTGAAAAAATCTAGTCCCCATGGGATCTCGAGCATTCTTCAAAAAACTGATGATGCTTGATAGAGGTGCGACCCTTGAACCTATACGTAAAATGTGACCCTGTTTGTCAAGGTAATTTTTAACCATAAAAGGCAGATCCATACCATCTAATGGGAAGCCCCAGTCTGAAAGCAGAATAATGTAGGATACTAAATCTGACTCCTCCCTAGGTGAAAGAGTAGACTATCCTAAAATTTTTACATGACGGCCAGCACATTGGTCGCTCAAAGGTGAACGAGGGACATTGCAAATATTAGCAGCTTCTGTTAAGCTAACAGCCTAACACCATCTTTCATCAATTGCAATGCTTTCTTAAACGACTCCACATAATATATCATATATGGCACAGAATCTAATTTACGTTTATAGCTGTGCATATTGTCTAAAAAAAAAGAAGAAAAATCTATCATTTTAAACATTTATTGGCTGGCCGAAGTCACCCCATTTAGCCCATATACTATGGGGTGACTTTGGTCAGCTAATTTTTCTAGCATATATATTACATTTGGCAAAAAATGTATAGCCATTGATATAATCATTATACAAGATACCAAAATAAGTGAAACAAATCTGATTCCAAAATTCTTTTCGTATCTCAAAATATTTAAGTTTGCACTCAGCTTCTTTTTTCTTTACAGTACTGTGGCTTTCAGATTGTGTTGGTCAAGCAGGATATAAAATTATTGAAACAAAACAGTTTCCAATCGATAGATTGGACACCAAAACTACATTGGATACCATTTTGTTCCAATCACATAACACAACTACAACAGAAACAGATGGCTGTAAAACAAAATCATAAACGTTGGCCGAAGTCCCCCCGGTGGCCGGTAATGAAAATGCAATAAGGTAATGAAAATGCAATAAGGTAATGAAAATGCTATAAGATAATGAAAATGCAATAAGGTAATGAAAATGCCACAAGGTAATGAAAATGCAATAAGGTAATGAAAATGAAATAAGGTAATGAAAATGCTATAAGGTAATGAAAATGCTATAAGATAATGAAAATGCAATAAGGTAATGAAAATGCTATAAGGTAATGAAAATGCTATAAGATAATGAAAATGCTATAAGGTAATGAAAATGCTATAAGGTAATGAAAATGCTATAAGATAATGAAAATGCAATAAGGTAATGAAAATGCTATAAGGTAATGAAAATGCTATAAGATAATGAAAATGCTATAATGTAATTAAAATGCAACCTGATTATGAAAATATTGCAAACATGATGCAGATCAGCATACCTGCATGATGACAGCATACCTGCATGATGACAGCATACCTGCATGATGACAGCATACCTGCATGATGACAGCATACCTGCATGATGACAGCATACCTGCATGATGACAGCATACCTGCATGATGACAGCATACCTGCATGATGACAGCATACCTGCATGATGACAGCATACCTGCATGATGACAGCATACCTGCATGATGACAGCATACCTGCATGATGAGGGCTCGCTTGTTATGCTGCGCTATGCTGAGGTTGCGTAATGCTGCCAGCACGGCATGCTGCACCACAACGCGTCCCGTGCTGCAGGTATGCTGCTGCAGCAGCTGCAGCAGTGATGCTGACACCCCCATGCTGACAAGCTGCATACTCTGCTCGTCTGCGTCAGCATAGGGAAGCAGGCGTTAGTATAATGCTGACATCAGCATAAATTTAACATCATTACAATGCTGACATCATTGCAATGCTGACATCATTACAATGCTGACATCATTACAATGCTGACATCATTACAATGCTGACATCATTACAATGCTGACATCATTACAATGCTGACATCATTACAATGCTGACAT